ATTAGATATAGTTAAAAAATAAAAAAATATAATATTTTTATTTTATATTAAGTATTATATAAATTTATATTAAAAATAATATAATATAATAAATATTATAATTATGATATAATTAATTTAATAGTTCATATTAAATTTATTATATTTAAGTTATTTGTATATATATATATAATTAAATTTATCAATTATAATTTGATATTCTTAAGTCTATATAAAGATATTATAATTTAATAATTTTTAATTTTATATTATATTATCTTTAATTATCATTATAATTTAAAATAATTATTTAAAAATATTATTTTGTTTTTATATATTTTTAATATTAATAAAATAATAATGTTAAATTATAAAATTAAATTAAAATTATTTACTTTTAATTATATATTTTATAAAAATATTTTTAAAATTTTATAAATAATCAAAGTTTTTTATAATTATTATACTTAATAAATTTGAATAATTATAGAAAAATATAATTATAGAGAGATTTTTTAATTAGTAATTAAAAAAAATAATTATAAAAAAAGATAACTATAAAAAAATATAATTATAGAAAAATCTAATTACAGTTATATTTCTTTAAATATATTCTTTCTAAGTGCATATACTATATAATTTTTCTTTAAATATATAATATATTCTAATTCTAACTTATAAGAACTTTATATATTTTAATTTCTATAAATATATATTCTCTTTAAATATATATTTTTTATTTTTTTATTATAATTTTAAAAGAGAAAAGTATACTTAGAAAGATTTAATTATATATATAATAATAAAATTATATTTATATTAAAGTTTATAATTTTTAATATATATTTTTTAAACTTTTTTAAATTTATTTTAAAAAATAATTATAAAATATTTTTTATATTTAATTAAAAAAATTTTAAATTAATATTCTTTTAAAAATATAAATAAAGTTATAAATTTTAATATAAAAAAATAAATAATAATTTTATATTTATAAAATAAAAAATTAATTTTATTAATAAAATATAATAAAATTCAAATTTTAAAAATAATTTTTGAATTAATAAATAAATTAAATTATTTATAAAATATAATAAAATTTAAATTTTTTAAAAACTTTTTTTATTAATATTTATAAGAATTATTTAAATATTTAGATAAAGTAATATAAATTTATATAATAACTTTATAATTATAAAATTAAAGAATTAATTTTTATTATATTTTATTAATAAAATTAATTTTATAATTTTATAATTATAAAAATTATTATATTTAATAAAATTATAAAATTTTTTAATAATAAAATAAGTTTAGTTATTTAAAATTAGAAATATAATTTTTTATAAAAATATAATTAAATAAATATTAATTAAATTAAAAAATATTAAATATAATTTATTTATATTTTAAATATATATAATATAAAATATTTAATTTTAATTATTTTATATAAATTATTATAATTTAATAATAAATTCTTAAATAAAAATTAATTAATAAATTATTAATAATATTTTATTTCTTAAAAAATTTTCTTTTATTTTCATTTTTAATATATTATAATAATTTAAATTTGATATATTAATCTTATATAATTATATAAAATATTTAAATTTAATTTTATTATTTTTTTTATTAAAAATATTAATAATTATAATTATTTTTTTATTTATAATATCTTATTAAATAAATTTATTTATTAAATTTTTATATTTTTAAAATTATTATTATTATATAATACTTAATTTAATTATTAATAATAAAATTTTATATAATTATTTTATTAATATATAAGAACTTATTACTTAATAATAGTTTATTTTTTTAACCTAATTTAATAAAATTTTCTATTATCAAATAATAAATAAAATTTTATTAATTTTAAAATATTATATATAATAATAATTAAATTTAATATATTAAAAAACTAAATTTATTAATAAAATATAATAAAATTAAAATTTTTTCTTAAAATTAATTTATAATTTAATATATATTTTTTTTAAATTTTTAGTATTTTTCTAAAAGTATTATTTTTAAAAAAATTTTCTAATTAAAAATAAAATTTAATTAATAAAAATTTTTACAATAACTTTATAATTAAAATAATATATTTAGAAAAAATCTAAAAATTTGAAAAGAATATATTAAATTATAAATTATAAATTTTAATAAAATTATAAAGCTTAATATAAAGAAATAATTTTAATTTTAATTAATAAATTTAATTTTTTGATATATTATCTTTAAATATTACTATAATAAAAAAGATTTACTTAATAAAATTTAATAAATATAATAAAAATTATTAAATAATTTAAATAATCAAAAAATTTGTTTTATTTTATAAAATAAAAAATAAAAATTATAATTATATATTAATATATAGTTAGATTTTTCTATAATTATCTTTTTTTATAATTATCTTTTTTGAGTTTTTTAGTTATTAATTAGCTATAATTAAAAAAATCTTTTTATAATTATATCTCTCTTAGTTATTCAATTTTATTTTTCTAAGTATAATAATTATAGAGAGATCTGATTATATTTATTTTAATTATAATATAATAATTATGAAATTAAAAATTAATTTTATTAATAAAATATAATAAAAATTAAAATTTCTCTTTATATTAAAGTTTATAGTTTATTAAAAAATAATTTTTACGTAAAGTTGGGGGGGGGGGGTGGTCGGATACTTCTGCGGAGCACTGTAATTGAGCATTATAGGAAACTTCATAACAATACCAAAACTGGGAATCATTATTAACATACTACAACTCTATTAACGTTAACCTTTTTCCTTTAACATAGCCATCACAACTATATTTGGGCATAATTACCTATCGTAATCACATTAACGATTAACGGTCATAGGATATGGAGTGCGAGTTCACTTAACAACTTTTCGTTGGATAACAATACATGCTTTGATCTTTTCTTGCACGTTCGATTTTTCTGATAGCATTGGATATCCACAATTCAAATTGATGTAATGCGTACTCATCATCAAATGATTACTTAGATTTCTGTTTATCTTCAAGCACTCTTCATAATTTACTCCACAATATGCATTTCCGGTACAATGGGTAGCCCGATGTCGTTCCATTTCTATGTTATAATTTCTAATATTTGTAGCAGAATATACTAATTGATCACAAGAGAAAAGCTTGGAATTCTTAAGAAATCAATTTTTAAATTCGCCCCTTTTGGGCTTGTGTGTTTGCCATTGTTTTATACAAGACGCGGATATGTTTAAAATTTTGTGATTAAATCACGGAAAAATCTGCGAAGCCCAATAGAAAAATATATATGTCGTGAAAAAATCGTGACAACACGCGATCGTGATTTATATATTTACATATTAGAAAGGTTTTTATGAGTTTATCAGACTATTTATGCTTCTCGCATTTGCGCATCTCGGAGACGACCCCAAGTAAAATCATAATACACTCATTATCAACCGTAAAAATTTCATTGTTTATTAATAAAAATCAATTCCAAAATCAGACACAGCCCATAATCATCACATAATTTATTCCCTTTTATTATCTGGTTCGATACGCACGAAGGAACTGGTTTCGAATTATCAAGAAATCCAGTACAATTGGATCAGGGAGAAGTTGTCGATGAATTATAGCATCGGGAAACGCATCGTGTTACAAACAATCCAGGGAAATGTTGATGACACATCGGCCTGTTTGAATATTTATCGAGGTACCGAATTCAAACTAACAATTAAACATCAGGTTAAAAATCGACACATTGATTATGAAATTACATGAGTCCGAGGCTGGATATTTGTTGTTCTTCTGGATCTGTCCCTACAAAAATGCCATGCCTGATAGGTTAAATTCTTTAAAATGACAAATGAACAATGAAATGACATGTACACTTCAGGAATATAACTTACTTGCATCCGTAAAAGAGCTTCGCTCTTCTTCAGAAGGTTAACCACGATCGAGTCGTGGACACGACTAAGAATGTGTAGCCAGAAATCATTCACTTTTGCAAGAACATGTGATTTACTCTCAGAATACGCCACTTCGACGACGAGATTCGGCCTGAAATCGTAGAAATATGAAATCTTAGTTCTGAAGAGCTCAGAGCAATTAAAGAAGGTACCTTTTGATTGCTCCCATTTGGTGGTCGCACTCCGGATTTTTCAGGGCGAAAATATGCATCCGATTCTTTCTCAAAATGTTGGCGCGAGTTCCTTAAGAAAAAAAAAGATTTGTTTGATATTGCGAACATAAGGTTGAGACAGCTAATTAATTGACATTTACGAATTGCGCTAAGTCCTATGATACTGGCATCAGTTCCAAACACAGGATCGCATTGCCTGAAGAATACTTGAGATATCGACCAATAAAAGTTTCATGTGGTTTTGATGGTAGTTCATAAATTATTACTTCGTCGTTAACACATTCCCAATATCCATGGACGTTAAAACTTATCCGAACGCCCTTCATATTCTTCCAAGGTGACACCAACCGCAAGTTTGTACGGAAGTCTTGATACTAATAGCAAAAATTGGCTTATGTCTCACTAGATCATAAATAGCGAGTCAACTTCAAAACTGGTAGGAAAGGGACTTTCGTTGCTTCTTTCCATTTTGCTTTTGAATTGAAGTCGCCTTTTTCCCACCACAGAGTGATAATAATGGTACTCTGGCATTCTTTTTGGAACAACATCAATGCTGAAAGATTAGAGAAATACTTTACACAGGCAAAGCAACAATTACAAACGGAATTTATCAGGTTAGTGATTATGTCACGATTATCAATTGTTCGGGTCATGAACCTAACTAATAAAGAGAGACTATTGTTGGGCTTGCCATAAGGCGTAATAATTCAATGATAACGTGTCATTCAGCTTTCTTGCTTCAAAATTTCAGCAATTACATAATCGATGTCATCTTTGGATAAATTTAAAATAGACGATGGGGAGAAAGATCTAAATCCATGCTATTTTTTGTTTACCTATAGTACTAAAAGTTTATAGACCGTTCGAGCTCTTTCAGTTCTTTTTCGCAAGGCAACGTACTTTTTCGGGAATTTGTTTCCTAACCTCAGCTTTTTACCAAGGTACGGGCTCTTTCTTTACTGTGTTCTTTTTCTGCTCTTTGTAATGATTATATATGGCCTCTCCAAACACACAAAAAAATCCCGGTTTGCATCTTTACTTTAGATTCGGCGCGATCAATCTTCTTGTAAAGTTGTAGAAGACTAGTACTGCCCTCGCTTACTTCTGCAATTTCGGTGGAGCTATTAAGATTTTTTGGTTCATCTGTCAACTTTTTGATAAGTCTTTTCAATGCGGTGAAGCCTTCTTTTTTAACCGACTTCTTGGCTTTTTATTAGACGATTTATCATCAGAGATGGGTTCTACCCTAACGCGTCTCGATGACGAGGTCGATGGTTCAACGGTGTTAGGGAATCGTTTCCGGTTTCGGCATCGGCATGTCTTGATCTTCTTGAATGCTATCTAACTAGTCGGATCCGATTTCAAGGCCCTTGCCAAAAGCGCTGGCCAATGATGAGGTTCCACTCGATTGCGACAAATTTCGCGACTTCTGTTTTATTATGAGTGTTTCTACGGGTTGTTTACAAATAGGACATGCATTTGATGGTGTATGCATTAGATTTTTCTCTACACAATTTATGAAATGTGTGCCCGCAAAAGGGTATGGTTATTGATTGTGGAGTGGACAAAATTTCCTTATCACATTTCAAACATTTTTCGAGTTTAAGAATGAAGTCATCAATTATCAGAAAGTATTTTGAATGTTGTTGAATGTTGTTGAATTTTCTTTTGTTGTTCTTCAGTATATTCTACAGGATAACTTTCATTTTCTAAATATCTCATTAGGTCATAATATGTAATTAAACTATTGAGTTAAATTAATCAAATTTGAATTTTCCGTTCGTCGCTAACGAGGTTCCTGGATAGTCTTTTAGGATATTCAGTGCAAGTGTCTTGAGGAGTTGCCGTCGAGGTGAATAGTCGCTAGAGATTTCCAGTGGTGGAGCCGTGGGTGGTGGGCTTTCTTCAGAAGATCCTCGTAATAATTTTCTATGGCCTCTTTACTTGGTTCACCATTATCTTGGCTCATAGTGTCAGTGAAATTTAACGAACATTATCTCCTTCTATAACTATATATTTTCCATATTTGGTAGCTATTATAAATCTTAAAAAAACTACAAAAGTAAAAACGATTTGAATTCATGTAGCACGAGAAGGTATTGTATATTCCGTACTATGTCATTCTTGAATAAAATGACTAGCTCTCTCGGCATGCATAGTTGTTTTTCTTCTTGGTCGTCTTGCAGCCATCGTCATATTCGATTATCTCTTTAATCTGGAAAATAGTATTTTTAAATCATAAATTTTTATCTTTGGGGGACCGAGTGCAACAGAACGGTGTAAATTGTATTAGAATTTCTAATAATTTACATCATTTCTATTGCATTCACCCCAAATTTTCCTCCGTCTCATTGCTTTTTTCATTATTTCTTCGTCTCTTTGTCCTTGTTCTTCTCCTTTGCAGTTAACTTCGTCTCTTTGTTATCGTCTGACTTATCCACCTATCTCAGTGCTCTTTGCATCCGAATTCCAGCAGATCGATCAAGATAGTTTTTGGTTACAATATCCCACTTTCTCCTTGCTATGTGAGAAACTGGCATCTCATCGAATACTTTCGTCATCGTTGGCTTAAGCAATGAAAGATTGTCGCAAAGACATCTCCATATTATCACAGAAAAATCGATTGGCCGCATCAACTTGAATACGATGTAAAATTTACGCAAAATCGGTTGCATTTTTTACTCGTGAATTTAATATTAATATTATTCCTCAAGATATATTGAATCATAAGATGTGGAAAATCACACGAAAACTGGTCGAAAAGTGCGATTACTCTTTCGCCAACATCTAATCACCAAAACAGAAGAAATTATCATTTAAAACGAAGCTTACACGTCCAAGACTGTGGTTGGTGTGCTAATATTGAATATCTAAAGCGTATTAATTTCGAAATTGTTGGAACTATAATGAAAATGAAGCCCTTGGTCATACGACGATGAAATGATAAGCATTTACATTGTATCACAATCCATCCGTTTGGTGCATTAATTGTTTCCACTATCAAAATCAAATAGCAACTTGTTTTCTATATATATTATATTATATTTTTTTACTTATTTAATTCTAAGAATTGAAAATTACATATATTTCTTTCGGTGATTTTATTTGCGCATGTACGTATTTATATAATATATATCATAACGATAATATTTTTTTTATTGTCTGATGATCTAAAATTCTCATGTACATTGCGCCACAATTTACACAATAATAATCGGTAATTTATCTATCCGATTTTTGTTTCACTGCTTAAATCATCATTTTTTCCCAACAATAAAAAATCAAACATGTGCCCAACATTTAGTTCAAAAAACAAAAAATATATTGTTATAAGTCAAACTGATATTGATATCCAAGAACACGATGAGAATCTGGAATTGGGATCTCGGCTTGAAATAGTCCTCCGAAAATCAGTTGACCAAGGCGGCGAATCCTATTTCGAACAAAATTTCAAAGAATTTTGTGAACTCTATGATTTTGATCAAAATGAAATTTTCAATCAATTGTCATCGAAACCTGAAACCAAAATAAAATATGCATGTTTATTAGGATGTTTCCTTGAATTTGGCATTGGGACAATGGTGGATAAAGAACAAGCTTTTCAATTGTATAAGATTGCGGCTGAGAATGGTGACTCGTTGGCACAGTCTTTTCTATCGTTATGTTATTTCGATGGGACTGGTACGAAAAAGGATGAAAATTTAGCGTTTTATTGGTGCAAAGAATCTGCAAAAGATTGTGCGCGTGGACAATGTACCTTAGGATATTGCTATAAATATGCGGTCGGCACAGAGAAAAATGATCAATTAGCTTTTGACTGGTGGGTGAAATCAGCGACTAATAATAGTGCAATTGGTGCATACAATTTGGGATTAGAATATAAATCATTTAAACCAACGTCCGAAAACGAGCGCCGTGCATTCACGTGGTTCTTGAAATCAGCCCGAACCGGTAACACCACCGGACAATGTCATCTTGCCAGTAGTTACGAAAAAGGAATCGGAACAGAAGTTGATAAGGAAAAAGCGTTTTATTGGTATCAGAAAGCGGCGGAGGGTGGAAATGAGTCTGGGCAATGTTCGTTCGGATATTATTATGAGATTGGGATTGGAACGGAAATTGATACGAGACGCGCGTTCTATTGGTATAAGAAATCCGCGAAAGGCAACGAAAAAGTGGGAATGTATAATTTGGCCAATTGTTATTTCTCGGGAAATGGTACGCGGCAAAACGAGTTGAAAGCTTTTTATTGGTATAAAAGATCTGCGATTGCTGGAGATGAAGATGGTCAACGAATGTACGCGCATTGTCTCGAGTATGGAGCAGGAACGGTCAGAGATATTCATTATGCAATAAAAGAGTACCGACGGTCTTTTGAAAATGGATCTATGATGGCAAAGAATAAATTGGTTTCTTTATTTGATTTCTATATTTTTTCTTGATACAGTGTTAGCATTAGAATAGAATACAATATTTATTATGTAAATTTAGATATTCAACTTACATTTTGTTTTCTTTATGCTTGCAAACTAACATAATCATAGACATTCAACAAATAATAAAATATTATTTAAAGATAATAATCTTAAATCAGCAATATCCATCCCATAAGGAATTTTGAACATTATGTCGTTTCTTTTGCAATCACTGTCAAGACATCTAAAGCAAGTCAAGATTTGCTATTTTCGCTTGAAGATTCTCCCAACTGGCAAAGGTTCCCCCCCTTGAGGATGACTTGAGAATACCACATCGACAAATACCAATGTAATCGAGATACTTTCCATCGTACTCAATAACAGTAGCAGTTGTCGAAGTAGTGAAATTATATTCAATTTTCCCACTCGTTTATCAAGTTCATTGGCAAATCGTTTCACAACAACCAGTAATGTTTTCTCGAGCACGTCTAAAACATCATCAACTAAACTAAAAAGTTCAATATTTTGTTTCCCTTCACATGCCCCATGAAAAAATTGCTCAGGATAACAATTAATGTATCAACTGAGACCCTGCGCAACAGCCATCCAAATATCATCAGGAGTGAGACTAAGGAGTTGTGCGTACGCTATAAATGACACTTGCTATCGTGCGGTTTCTTGAAAATAGTTGTCGGACTTATTGCGCTATAGGATCCGGAAAATCTACTGAAAAAGGTGAGGTTTGGAACACTGAATATCGAAGTCAAATAGGCTTTCAACAGGTTACTATTTGATTATTTTTATTTCATGTATTTTTGTTCAATGAAAATCCGTTATTGTTTTGCTGTTTTGCTAAGGAAATTCTTGAATAAAGATAAAATTGAGTCGTTTCATATTTTTTATTTTTGCTTTTAAAGAAATTAATAATTTAACACACACTTACCGAAATTAAATTATACCGATACAAACATACGAGAAATTAAATTGGTTTGAAACCGGTTTTGTGAGACCGAGATCATCAAGTTTTTCGAGTACTCTAGAAAAATCCGGTTCATGTGATTTTTAAGTGGTTACCATAACGATAATCGAAATGATTTGATTCTAAAAAATCACATGAACCGGAGATTTTTTATGTACATGTAGTCGTTTTATTTTTTCTTCCTCTTCGTTAAGAAACTAATATTTATGCACTTTATCATTGTAGTATTTAATGAATTCATCAAATTAACTTCATTACTTCTTCATATTATATGATTACTCGTATAAACGAATTTTATAACGTGAATTCAAAGATGGAAATACTCATGATTGTCTCATGCATTCAATAAGATGTACTATTGTCAAAAAGTACTGCGTTGGCTGTTTCAATTATCTCAACGAATTTATAACGATGAATTGTCTGGGTAAGATAAAAGATAACAATTCAATAAAGAATGCAATAAAATTATTAAAAGGCTTAAATTGTTCGAATGAATACTTTTAAAAGACCTACCAATTTGGCGTATCTTGCAAAAAGGAGATATTGGAACAATTTATAAAACAATATCTTCTATTTACTAATAAAAATAAAATATTATATTAAATATATAATAATACAATTAAAAATTATAATAATAATAAAATAAATAATCTTTATTCTTTATTTAAAAGATATAATAATAATTAAACTTCAAACTGCAAGATTAATGTATAATAAAAAATCCAAAATAAATATTATTTTGCAAAATAAATCTTGAAATTGTAAATTTTACTATAAAAGATTAACCTCTCATAATTAAAAATTTATATTTTTTAATTGATTTATTTTAAATTTTTTTATTATAACTAAAATATTTATTATATTATATATAAAAATTTTATGATAAAATTTTGAGATATTTTTATTAGAAATACAAAAGTAATTTTATAAATAGAAATATAAGATATTTTTCAAAATAAATATTTGATTAATTTTTTCATTATATATTATAAGTTCCTTAAAAACTACAAATATAAAGATAGTATTATATAATTATAAGACTTTTTACTAATTAATTTTGTTAATTAATATTAATATATATGATATATTATAACTTTAACTTTTAAATATAATATATATTATCTATAGTTAGTAAATATTAAAATAAATTTAATTTATCAAAATAATTAAAAAAAGATCTATTTTATTATTTTAATAGATTAAATTTTGAATTCACGTCTTAGTTAAGAAGTTTATTCAATTTATAAACTGTAAATATTTGTTAAATTTAGATAATATGCTTCATATTAATAATATTAGGGTAATTAGAATATATAAAAATATTATTCTTTGAGTTATTAAAATAAACAGATTGAATAATAATATTTTTATATAATTTTAATTACCTAAGATTATTAATATTTAAAAGTTATATATTAATATTAATATTAATATTAATTGATAAAAATTAGTTAATAAAGAACTTATGTTGTATAATTATATAATACTATTTTATATTTACAGACCATTTAATATATAATCTTTGAATTTGATTCAATATATTTGATTCTTTTTTAATAAAGCATATTAAAGTGTCTAATTACTAATTAAAATAATATATAACATCCTGACATCCCGACAATCTAACTTCCACTTCCCGACAATCTAGTCCAATTTCTGGTTTTTACTGGGATAGACCATTAACATTTAAATCAAATGGATCTTCATTTAAAATTTAAAGGTGTCGGAAATTGTCAGGAAGTTGGATTGGCAGGAAGTTTAAGTTGTCGGGAAGTTGGCCTTGTCGGGAGGTTGGAATTCGGGAAGTTGGATTGTCGGGAAGTTGGGTTGTCGGGAAGTTAGATTGTCGGGGTGCTGGGTTTTAGGAATGTTGGAATTTCGGGAAGATGGGCGTCGGGATGTTGGGCGGCACCCCAATATAACAATCCTAATTATAACTTATATTAAATGTTCTATCAAATAACTTATATATTTTATGGTTCATAATCAAAATAAACATCACGAATAATCAAAATAAACATCACGAACTCTCATTTTCCAGCTTTTTTAAAATTAAACACAATATGCGCGTAGAATTTGTATTTGGATAGTCATTATTGCTCTGAAGCATCGTTCTGGAGCATCACTCTGGAGTGTCATTCTGGCAATGTCATATTATATTAATTAGAGTGCTCTATATCAGAATGGATTATTCGGTTTGTAGCATCTTATAGATAGCTGATGAAAAAACCACAACCCATGGAAGAGGCAACTATAAATCTGCTGAAATCGAAGCATCCGGACCATCCAAAACGCTACTACAGGCATGCTTTATTTAATCAATTAATAGTACTACGTTCAAAATCAATACCTATATATTGATAAAAGCCTGCCTTAATAAATAAAGTTTTGCGTGCAATTACAATTGTACTTTCATATTATTTTTGATAAATATATTGATATACTTTGCGAATTAGTCATTAGCAACGAAACGCATAACTCATATATTTAACCTGATCAGTATACTTGAAAAATAATTATATTTTCCTCTGCAATACTTTTTTGCAAAAAAAGAACGATGTTCTGCTATATTCACATTTCTGCAAATGAACATTTTAATCAGAATTAAATTTATGCATTAATACGTACAAACACTTTAACGTCATTAACGCGTTGTTATATCTAACCTAATGGATATTTTTAGAGATGACGTCGGAACGTCTTTTGAATTGTTCTGATATAAGGATTTTTTAATAATCAGTGTTATTACCAATCATGCCGAAACAAAAGTGAATATAACTTTGTTGAACGCTATTTCAAATGCTTTTGGCTGATCTAAATTTATTCTCTAGAAAATTAAAATAGATGACCAAGACAAAAACGTGACACTCATAGACATTAGCCCAGGGACCCGGAAAAAATTCCGTTTTAACTTTGAAAAATTTTATTCCGAAATTGAATTTTATTAATTAACTATTTTATAATACATGTAAGTACACGACGATCATCATCAAAAATTTTGTTTTATACGCACTAAAACTACGCATGAAGAATTTGGTAACTAAATATATTTTTTATAGTACAGTATTTCACTAAGAAGGGGTAATCGATATAATTCGATTTCATTTAAATTGACTTTACAATAAATTGCCCATTCTTAACGTTAGCTATGTTGTTCGTACATGATTATGATTTTCCTTAGTTTTTTACGTATTAATATGCGAAAGAATAGTCATTTTATGTTCACATTTAACTGAATGACTACAAACCCGACATAATAAACTTTCATTATCATAACGAAAACCTTCAGAAAACTCTTGTACACGAGTATATGCAGTTATTCGTTTTTGCTTAGAGGCATTTTTCATTAAAAAATATCGCAATTTTTGTTCATAAAGTGCATGATCATCATATATATAGCTTGCTATAAAAATTCCCTTTTATACCGATTTATTCCGTTTTATATCGATATCATGATATATGAATTTCTCCGTGTCCCTGCATTAGCGTGCGACAATCAAACAACGAATATTTTCCATGATCAATGAATATAAAGTCAAAACCTAGACGTTCTTTCATATTCGATGCTGAGTAGAAAGCTTGAAATTGAATAGCTTAAGTTTAGTTTATAAACTCCGAACTTAATATAATGCTGTCAAGCCTAAGTCGATACTAAACTTATTATTTACAAGTATGAATAAAAGATAACACCATGTTCGTGTGTAACTTTATTTAAGAGTATATATATGTGGAAGTAGTTAAAATTTTCTCGACAAATTGAAAATACTCCGAAGCAACCTTTAGTTATATTTTTAAATACTTTCACGTTCTTTCATATTTTTCTCAAGCACCTCATGATATAATAGACTTTAAAATGTGATTATTTATATATAATAGATACACAAATCATTATATAAACAGTCCTCATTCTTTGGCTTACAAAATCCCAGTTTTTTTGATTGCTTATTTTCGGATATATATAGTAGTTAGTCTTGTGAGTGGCTTTTTTAATGAGTTACTTGCATAGCTGAATCTTATAATATGAATATATGATTTATAAAGCTAGCTATATTAATCTGTGCAAATTCTTTATCCTTTAAAAAGAATTTGAAGTTATAATTCTGGATCTCAGATTGTGATAAGAATATTTGTATCATTCCAGTTTGTATTTTTTTTTGTAATAATTATTATTCTGAAAAAGCAAATAAATAGTGAAAATCCGGCATTATTCACTTTTATATATAGAATATATAGCTCAAATTCTATATATTAACAAATAATAGTTTATTTAATAAAAAACAACAAGATATACAGTGATGAGCAAAAAATTTTGGAATTATTTCACAAGATTTTTCTCAATGTTCAATAATTATTTCACTAAACTTTTTTTTTATTTGATAGAATAATAATATAAGCTTTATATAATAAAAAAATTAATGGTTTATTCTTTTGTCATTTGACTTAATAACCTTCTCATATCTCATTTTCTAAATTTTATGAGTTTCTCTTTTCTACATTCCAACTATATTTTAGAAGTTTTCAATAAGATTAAGATTAGAACTATTGAATGATTAGTTTATTATGGTTGAAATCTTTTTTTGAAGAAATTTTTTAGTCTGATGGCTTGTGTGCTTCAAATCATTTTCTT